GGCCAAAATCCCAATATCGTGCATCCCTAGTTTCTATGTAAGCAGCTGTAGTCCCGCCCACGGGTGTTGATGGATAAGGTTTTACCGTAATGAAATATTCAAAAGTTAAATTAATTTATTTAAAAAATACATTTAACTATTACTACTTATTGTCATAATTTAAACTTTGTGCTTATCTAATGGGACATTTAAATATTTACATATCACAATTTATTGGTACATGTAATTTTTTTAGTGATGTATTAAATCAATAAATGGTGCATTTAATCATTTAATGCACATGTAATAAAATATTTATTACATTTCACATTTAATCATTTAGCGGTTCATTTATTTATTTCATGGTTACTCTAATGAAACATTAAATAATTTTTTATGTATTGAACACATAAATTGTACTATTAATTATTCTACGTTATATTTATTCTATTTTGTCCCCTTTAACCCTCCATACAGAACATTTAGAGTGCTGCTGAATACATTTTTTTTTTAAATAAATGGTAAATAAATTATTGTTTTGTACATTTTGGCAGGTCTGAGATGCATGAATATATAGTTATTGGCACCAAAAGGAATAATAGTCCTTAACATCCTTAATGCTTTCCTCCTGATGACGATCAGGGATTTTTTTTTAAATTGAGATGTAATTTTTTGTTTTGTCATATAAAGAGGCAATAATAAATGTTTGCGTTTGAACAGCCCGTCCAGAAAACCTTTGACTACGTTCTGGTGGCCGATAAGTTGGACGACGTCATGGACAGGAAGTACCAGAAGCAGGATGAATTCCTGAAAGAGCTAAAGAAGAAGAAAATTTCAATTAAAGTGAGTTTCCTCACAGCATCAAGCTCTTTGTATTCACCAGGAGTCAAAGAAATCCACTAATGTGTGTTTTTCTCGTGTGCCAGCGGATAGAACATGATGGAAAACTATTCTACGGCCTGCGTGCTCCCAATGACATATTTGAGGACTATCAGTACCTGCTTAAAGTCTCCGACTCCTGCAACTGGTGCCATGATGAGAAGGGACTGACCCAGGCGAACAAGTAAGTCACACACATTCATTTTCATTTAACACACCTATGAATGAAACCTGTGTAGGTAGTTCTAGGAACCCTCTTTGTTAGTTTCGAGTCAAACATTATGATGCAACCGTCTCTGAAAAACAGCACCAGAGCCCTAAATGTCACTGGAGAAGATGTTTGTGTTTTTACCGTCAGTAAAGCTCTTCAGATGTTCCTCCAGCTCATAACATCTACAGGCTGTGAGGAACAGCTGGCTACAGGTTTTCTTTGTTTGCATCTCTCGCTTTAAATGGAGTTTTTTATCCCTAAAATAAAGAGCTGCCTCTGAGGGGACAGGGAACCAAACAGGATTTACTGGTTTGATGAATTCTCAGGTTGAAATGTTTCTATGAAGACAAAAGATTCATTTATTCCAGGAACTACTTCTGCATCTGGAAAAGCTGAGCAGGGATGGACGTCATGTGAAACTTCACATAGAGCTCTGCTGTTATCAAAGCTTAATCTTAGAGAGGGAGGAGAAAAGGCTTCGCTTTTAAAAATGGTAGATTTAAGAATGTGGAAAAACGGATGTTCTCACATTGCCATCTAAACCAGAGGATCACACGTGCCCTGAAGCGCGGAGTGGAGGGGCCCAAAACACAGAATTTATTTAGTTTTATAAATGCATGTCCTATTAAATAGTTAAAAATACATTTAAAATGATGAATTAAATCATTTGATATCATTACAAATCTGGTATTTTTGGAAAATCTGACATTTATGTGCAGCAAAAGAAAAAAAAAACATTCACACAGTCAGTTTTCAAAGAGACACAAAATAAAAGGCGAATGTTTGGGAAAAATGATCACAGAAAAATTCAAAACATCTCTCATTTCCTCAAAAGGCCAAATTCAGTTGAACAGCAGAATGATTTAGTGTTAAAGGAAAGATGCTGCAATGGTAATGCTCAATGGTTTTAAGCAATAGCAAATTGTTTACCAAATACATTCCTTAAAGCGTTATTTCCTGCTTAGGTGTCAACTTCTAAAGAAAATCCAGTCAGACGTTTCTCAAGAAGCGCCGAACTGCACCAGAAAAGATGAAGATAAGAAAAACAGGCCAAGAATCTGACAGAACCAGAAACGTTTCATCACAAACACTTTTAACAGGAGCCCATAATAACAACTGAAAGCTGCTGTTTGTTTACAAGTAGTGGCATATCGGCCATCTTTTACCCTTTTATCTGGTTTGCTAACGAGCGCTCTGGGGTGGCTAACCGAGATCTCACCATAAACTGTTTATTATCTCACAAAGACTCCTTATTTTTAGTTACATTAAACATGTAACTAAAAATGAAAAAAAATTAAAAAAATAGCTTAGCCCTCACTGGATCACTACAAACAGAACAATCAGATGTGCAGGTCACCTGGAAGCAGATAATGAACTGTTAAAGGAACTTCCATCGTTACACATCTCAGTTTTCTCAGATTTTGAAGCTGAGACTTTGGCAAGAGAATGTTTACATTTATTTAACGTCCTCAGATGGAGAGATAGAGCTCTGACTGGGCAAAGCTCAGTACATTTATACAGCAACTCCCAATAAACACACTCTCCCATGGAACCAACCCACCCCTTGCATAAAGAACTTTCTCACAAACGAACATTTGATGGAAAAACAACTCAAGTTCCTCAAGGCCATTCCCTGTTAGGTTAATATATATTTCACTGGCCAGATGGATCTTCTTAAAACAACAGTCATCCCCTTCATGTCATGAAGGAGGCTGTGTAAGACATTCTTATCTCTCATGACCTTCGTTTGGAGCCTGTGAGGCTAAGAACAAACATTTTACTACTCAATAATTAAACACTGTTAAATTATGAAGATGGTCAAAAAATACTCAGGTCATCTAGAATCAGATTTACACTGACACCACAACGGCAAAAACTTGTGCAATGTATAATGACCAATTGATTATTTGATACCCTGTGCATTAACTATATATATAAATATCCATACATGTAAACACCACATGCAATAACCCAGTATAAGGATCCTACTATTAAAAAAAAAAGCAGTCGTATGTAGACGCACTGTATGTTAGGCCTGTCACGATAAAAATATTGCCGAAAGATTAATTGTCTCAAAAATTATTGCGATAAACGATAATATTGTTTGAAGACCTTTTTACACTTATTTAATGGAAATTACGTAATAATGCATGCAATTTCAACAGAACACTTAACACTGGAACTGGTTAACAAAATAAAATGAGAATTAAAAATCAAATGGACTCTGTCTCTGTTAACTAAAATTATGCTTGAATAAAAACAAAACACAAGATAAAACCACAGTGGAAATAAAAACGTATGTACAACATATCACGTCATGCATGTTTTTCTCGGGAATTCATCCTGTCTATCAAATGTCTGCAACATTTTTTGAAATGCTGGCTTTTCAACAATATTAAATGGGACCATCTCTTTATCAATTAAATGAACTACGCTGTCTGTGAGCGCGCGCCACTTTGCGCCGTCCTTTTCATATGCTGCCAGTCGATTAATTGCTTCAGTGATGGTGGACTGTCGCGAACTTGAAGACGCAGGCAGTACACTGCTTGTACTTTTTGTTTCCAGCTGGAGAAACTTTGCTGGGTGGTTGTGCTTTAGCTGCATGTGTAGGTTGGTTTTATTGCTGCACTTAGTTGCTACTGTTTTATGACAAATGCGACATACTAATAATAATAATAATAGATTTTATTTGTAACGCACCTTATATTTTAAAGAAATCTCAAAGTGCTACAGAGATTAAAAATACATACCGGCTCGCATAGGTTCAGCGGTTCGCCTCTGTCATTTGGTTTGAATCCGAAATACTCCCACACTGAGGCTGTTGCGCTCGGCTTTCAAACCAGTTCCATTTCGAGCTTTTCCCCCCCAACATAGGATGTGTTGTTTTTTTTTTACCTCGCTTTTATTTATTGTGCGATTAATTGATTTATTGATTATCGTATGTACTGTATATTACCAATGCAAGTTTTCTTTCTCCACTGTGAGATCAATAAAGTTAATCAATCAATTATGTCTTATTACTTTCTAAAAAATTGTATTTAACTCTATTTATGCTGACTTTTGACCCTCATGAAGCCCGATCAACGGGATTCCAATGTTAGCATCAGGGACCCCCTGGGGTTCACGTCATTAAGTTGGGGTCATGAGAGTGTTTTCACTGTCCTCCTTATGGGATCCGTGAGGTATATTGAGGGCCAAAATGTCCCATGAAATAAATGCATGTACCCGGTAACATTTATTTTGTAAAGTGTATTCATCCAATTAAAGATTAAAATGATGAATATACAATTAAATTATGAAATGCAGTGAAGGACAGG